ATTTGTTTGTTTATTAGCACACACACTGAGCAGGTTGGCCCACTTATGTGCACATGCACACACTATTTGCTTTGTCTTTAGTCAAGTGTGCAGCTCTTGCATACCTCTGATCCACTTTTACTTAGCCCAAAGTGTGTGCGTTTTCTTTTGTTTAAAGAGCAGCCACCAAAAGATGAAAACATACCAAACAGGACCCTCAACAGCCCTCGCTTGTCACAAATAGGAGGCTGTTTGCTATGCAATGGGGGCAGAACTCAGTTGGTGTTCATAGCATTATCAGATACTTGTTGTGTTAAGTACTAACCCCAAAGATCTTATTTTTTTTGTTTTTTGTTGGAAGCCCCTATGATGTTTGGTAGTCTATAAGCTTAAGTTTAGTTGTTTCAGCTGAAAGGGTTCTTGCTTCCTGGGTAGGCTGAAATGGTCGATATTTATTATATTATATTATTTTGGAAAAGGCCATTCATGCATGAATAGATCCTCCTTCAGTTATTGAATGCCAGTGTTATAACTGTGATTGTGTGAAATTAGCCTGTTGTTGGGCCCAAGGAATTGGAATTTTTTTTTACACTTTTGGTCCTTCTTCCATTTGCCATTTTACTGAAAGCTCTTCCCTGTGAATTTCATCGCTATCATCATTGGCAGCCATTACTATTGTATCTCCGTGACGCACACCACCGCATGCTTCAATTAGCATCCTCTGCGTCTGCTATCACCTCTAGCCTTTTTGGTGATTACCCATTACCTCTTCCTCCCACACAAAAAGCTAGGTGGTGATCACGAGAGTCAGTAAAAAAACAGAGGTAAATTGTGAACGCGTCCAATTTCATATTTATCTGATAATGTGTAACCTAGTTGCTTTTTAACTTTTGATGGCGACAATATTAGATTCTTGATTTACTATTCTGTTTGAGAAGACTTAGATCAAATCGATGAGATGATGGTTCTTTAGTCTAGCGGAAAAATTTTAAACCGCCAAACCGTTCGCATCTAATCGCAATCCACTCAATCCGCATCCGGCCGGTCGGCGGCACGATGCGATGGATCTTTCTTCAAATCCGCCCAATTCCCCGCTGACACGGGATGCGTTAGGAGGTTCCTGCCGCCACCCGACCCGTGACCCCATCCCAATCTCAATTTGTTTTTATATATTGAATAGATCTTTGAGTCTCCAAAATGTCCTAGATAGGACAAATGTGTGTAGACAAAATTCAAAAAATCGAGAAAGAAAGTATTACAGTTACTTAAAAAAGTATTACAATCACTGTATGCCTTATCTAAAGAAAGAAAGTTTAAAACTTTAAAATATCACGATCACTGCATGCCTCATTCACATATTATAATCACAGCATGATTCATCCACATAAAGTATTACAATTTGTGGTTCTTAAAATATAATAACAATTCAAACCACCAAAACCATGAACAGAGCAGTAGTAGAGATTGTATGTCTCTGTATTGTTACATCTTTATATGTTTTTGAAAACAAAAACCAACCAGCATATATCATATTTTCTATTTATTATTTTTAGATTTAGATTTAAAAACCAAAAAATATAGATAAATATTACGTTTATTTTTTTCAATTCAAAAAATATATTCAAGTTGAAAATTTTTTTTCAATAGAATATTTAAACTCTTTTTCAATTGAAAACACAAACATAATATTTAAAAAAATTAAAAACACAAAATCTTATAAATTACTAGGGGTGTTCGTGGTTTGGCGGTTTGGCGGTTCGGTTGCGGCCAAATAAATCTCAAATCCGCCATCCGTCCATCAAATTGGTGGATTGGAGAAAATCAATCCGCAATCATCCGCTCGTCATCACGCATCCGTCCAAAATGCGGCGGATCGGTTCGGTTTGGTCGGTTTTGGCGGATCGGTATATCCGCTGCTCACCCCTACCTCATATGAATTTTCAACAAATTTTAATAAAGCAGGACAATTTTTGAATCTTCAACATATTTTTGTTTTATTTGGACATTTGAATGGATCAGATTTGTCCAAATTATAAAACAATGGCTGAGGTATATTTCCTAAAAAAATATTCGATATATACATTTTTTACTTTCCCACTTCTCTCTCTCTTACTTTTTTATTTTTTCACCTATCTTTTCATGATTCCATGATCCCACATTCATTTCTTTTATTTTTTTATTTTGTTTTTCTCTCTTTTTGTTTATTTTATTTTATTTTCTCTTTTTTGTTCAATATATTTTACACATATTTCCATACAATATATGTATGCCTGTAATGCACTAGGACATTATGGACATCTATACAATTTCTATATAATTATATAAGCAAAAACAATATAATATGTATGCCGGTGAAAATTGTGTGTATGGTAGACACATCTATCTATCTAACTATATATTATATAAGCAAAAGTAAGTTTTCGTGAGAAATTTCGTGAGAACTCCAAAATTTTATAATAAATTTGTAATTTTATCAAATTAAAAAATAAATTTAAATAGTATTGAGATTACAATTATATTCTAATTCTAATATTATTTATTTAGGTATGGACATATGCTAATTTATATATATTATATATATAATTATATAATCAAAATTTTAATTATAACTTATTCTTATACACAAATATAAATTTATATTTTTTTAACACCTCAAAACTCTTGAACAAACTCAAACTCGAATCAAGTCTAAACCAACTCGCCTGAAACTTAGATCGTTAAATTTTTATTTAGCTCGAGTTTGAACTCATTAAAATTTTAATAAACAAACCTAGACATACTAAAATTAGACTTGATTTGTTGGCATCTCTATCTCAAAATCTAAAACGTAAATATTGAAAATCTTAGGGTGTGTTTGGTAACGTTTACGTTTTCAATTTATATTTACAAAAATTTTATAAACTGATTTTTCTTTATTTTTAGAAAAACATAAACTATAAACGCGTTTGGTAATTGAAAAAATGTTTACAAAATTTAAAAATATAAAAAAGAGTGAAAAATGACAAGTAGTGGCAAGTGGCGGCGAAAGACGGTGGTGGCAAGTGGCGGCGAAAGACGGTAGGTGGTAGGTAAAAAAAAATATTAAATTTTGATATTTAAAATAAAATAATATAATAAAAACAAGTCAAATATTACATTTGTAAGTAGAAGAAAATATATATGATTTATTTATTTGTCTTTAAAAATGACCACAACCAGAGTTTTTTATAAGGATTATTTACATGTAAATTTCTTAAATTATTAAAAAGTATTATTTTGACACAATAAATTATAAAAGTATACAAATAGACCCTTTAAATTATTAAAAATATTACTTTATTTCATAAATTATAAAAATTTACAAATAAACCTCTTAAATTATTAGTACATTTCACTTTAATCTCATTAGGGATTTAATTTGTATATTTTTCTAATTTTAAATATATATTTATACATTTTTATAATTTAAAGAATAAAATAATATTTCTAATAATAATCTTTTTTTATGATCCAAAAATTGGAGCATTTGGGATATTTTTCTTTGGGAGTGGGTCCCAATTGGGAAGATATTTTTGGGTGAGAAACTTTTATTATTATTATTTGGAGCAACTTGGGTGGAGAAAAGTTGAAATATCAAACGATAGGATGGCACACACTGACACGATCGAACTCTTAATTTGTGGCTTTCAAGTTGTCGAACCCCAAATCCCCACTATCTATTTCTATTTCTTCGGACACCTATCTTCTGTTTCCTTACTCGCACGCCTTGTTCAAACCTTCATACTCGCTGTTTTATTGGATGCTTATCTGTACGTCATATCATCAGATTCCTAAGGAGTGGTTAATGTTCCGCTGTCTTATTGAATTACCAGAATACCCTCGCTTTGGGTACACGTGGTTGTTTATATTGGGCGAGTAGCAATGGGTATTGTACAGCAGTGATTGGGATTTGGATGAAAATATCTAAGATGAGAAAGTCTCGTACGATTGGTGGATTGGGGGGCGGATCTTTTTCTTCGCTGGGGTGCATTCTATGAACGGTCGGTATTAAATCACGTTGCTTTTAAATATATCATGAATCATGATTCATGTGGTACGACTTTTTTTTTTATTGTTATTTAGGATTTTAATTAACAACCACTAGCTGACATTACACCTCCTCCTACCTGTTACACGTTCAACATTCTGTTATGTGGGCGCATCTCCGCCGTTTAGAAAATATTTTGGATAAATTAAACTTTCAAAATTACTTGAGTCGCTCAAATTTTGTGACTTTCATGACTTTTAATTGGTTGGTGATTACTCATTTTGATTTTTTTTTTTCTCTCTTACACAAATGTGTGGAGATAGTGGGGTCTATAACAGGACTACGGAGTTGTTTGTCATGTCTTAAATAAGTATACTTTTTGATTTTTAAATTAAAAAATTAAGGAAAAATATATAATTATTTAGGTTAACTTTTTGACATTTTATAAAAAAAATATGTATTAAAAAATTATATAAATTAGTGTGTAGGAAAAAATTAAGATTGAAAGTTACACAACCGTACTTTTTGACTTTTTGTGAATAATGATAACTTTTTAACTTTTTGAATAACTTTCTGAATTTTTGGCTTTTTGGGCCCATTCCAAACTTAGCCTAAATCCATTAAACTCAAATAGCTATTTTTACACGGCAAAACTCTCAAATTTAATCTTAAAAACTAAAACAATCAAATATAAAATTTGAAATATTTTCCTTAAATGAAGTGTGTCAAGTCGCTTGGTTTCATTTCATTTCATTTCATTTCATTTCAAACACAAAAAATACAACCTTTTATTGTCAAAAGCACACATTCTAAAAAGAAAACTGTTATTTCCAGAGGCCAAAACACCTCTTCCACATCCCTCTCTTGAACACTAATTTCTTGCATCATGTATGCAAACAAAACCTGATGTAAGGTACAACATCATGTCATGTTAAACACAAATAGAGGTGTAAATGTATGCAAGTGAAAACTATATCCCACGTCACAACTTTTACGAACACCGGACACAAACACATTCATAAAACTAAGTACAATTATTTTGAATTTTGAAATGTTCCCATTGAAAATGCATTTTCTCAAAGATGAATCTCAGAATCAGATTCAACTTCAAATTGCATAAAGTCTGGCAAGGTCAGAGAACAGGTAATCATTCAAAATCCCAGGAATCCATTTACTTTTACACTATCTAATCTATTCCCTGGAGCACAATTTGGCCCCAAGGACTAAGAGCAATAATAATTATCTTTTGACATCTGAACTAGAAACATTAGTAAAAGGCATTACCTCTAGTGCTCTTCTCAAATCCAAGGTCAAGAAGGTTGTTAGCCCTACCCAAGAATGTAGAAATTAACACAAAGTTGTAGGGGGAGAGAGAGTGAAAGGTAGAGCTATCAATGCCTGATCGTAAGCTCAGCCCTGAGATGGAGGACGCCATTGATGAAGTAAAGACTATCCTCGGCCATGAATGAAGGCCACTGTACTGCAAATAAGTTACGGTACCCAACAGCTTTGCCACCAGTGAAAGTGTAATTGCCCTTGTATTTGCTAATGTACTCCTCTGTTGGCTTTGATCGAGCCGCAAACTCGTAATCAACGGCAAAAGAAACTGACCCTTTTTCCTGCATTCCAAGAAACAGCCCAAAGCAATGGAATGAGCTCTGTTGATCCATGTTGCAATGTGCTGAGAGGAAGAAACCTTGGCCGCCCAAGTGGAAAGCTTGGGAATAGACCCGCCCGGATGGGTACAAGTTTGCACACTCCTCGCGTTTTAAATCAAGGTAAACGACACATTGTTGTCGTGGAAGTTCGAACTCAACAACCTTTACAGGGCGATACTTGTAGGCACGTTCAACGAAGCGCCGGTTTGTCGAACCAGACTCTTCTGCAGCAAGGGTTCGCTGACGGTGTGGGGCCTCGGCCTTGAAAAAAAGAGCCTCTAGCACAACCTTGGATGCAAGCTCATGATCAAAGTCGTTGCAGATCAAAACCTTCTTAAGCTTCCGGCATGTCATGTAAGGGAAGCGAATGTAGCGACCAAGGTGAGAACCGAGAACTTCCCGACGTTCCTCCAGTTTTGGGTACTGGGCTCTTGCCCACTTCAATACGAAGTCATATACTGCATCTTCTGATGCCACCTGGAGATCATCACTTGACAAAATTGCCTCAATTCCAGCAAGGGGCAAGCTCATAACCTCGTCCTGGAACCTGGCAAAAAAAGGAAAAAACTCGTAAACATGCTCCTCAAACAGCATCTAACATTAGTTATAGCAGTCGTACACTGTTTGGCAATAATAAAGGACGGACACACCAAGAAAAGTTAATTTTTCAGAACAAAAGGTGGTATTCAGGTGTTTTTGTAACCATGCAATATTCATGTGTTTTTTACACTTTGAACCTGAATATGACCTACTGGATTGATTCACCATGTTAATCAGCTTACAGAACAGATTCATTTCCTTAAAGATGATGCAAGGGATGAATGTCGAAACAGTTTAGAGAAGTTTTTGTGCCCAGTAACTCGGAGTCATCTCAGGAAACAAAATATAAAGCATTGCATCTCAAGAGATCATAGAGTTTTGGACCTTTTTCATATGCATTTAGCAGTTTCCTACAGAATAAAGTTATTCCTTCCAAACCTGGGCATGGTATGAATTGATTTTCCAAGCTGAGAACAAAGACATCTAATGAGATTGAAATGATGCTTAAACCTTCTCTCATGCTTTGATATGGAGCTAACCCACCTAACCGCTTAAAAAATAATATGTTTTGTGTTTGGTTTCAATTTTCTGGATTCAATTTTTTAGAAATTAAGTTTTTTATTTTTTGTATTTTTTTGTTTTTAATGAATATTTTTAAAATTTTAAGTAATTTTTTTACTTTTTTAGATGCACATTACTTAAGATGTATCTAAAAAGTAAAATTTTTGTAAATAAATATTTTAAAAAATCAATAAATACACAAGAATACGAAAAATGTACTGAATTCTCGTATTTTTTTAAAATATATTTTTGGTATTTAGTGAATTTTCTAATGATTTTTTTTCACAAATATTATACTTTTTAAGTGTATTTATGTTAGGCGTATCTAAAAATTAAAAAAAATGCTTAGAATATTAAAAAAATTCAGTGAAAACAAAAAAATACGGAAAACAAAAAATTTCAATTTTCTGAAAAGTGAATCCTGAAAATCCAAACCAAACAAGTTGATAATTCAAATCTCAATTGCAAAGAGGAAACCAATCCAAAAGGGACAAAATAACAGTATACAACATAAAACAACACTTCTTTTATGGAAACAAAACTACAGACGTTCAAAAGGGCAAAGATTCGAGACAGGAGAACATGAGGCACCTGTGAAGAGAGGGACTTACTTGGTAATGTCTTTATAACGGGCCGCAAGGAATTGCTTTGCTGTGTCAGTCAAAGGCTGAACTGCTTCACCCATTAAGACACTGGAAGGAAGCTCCAAATATAGCAATGCGGACTCTGGAGTCATGGGCAAATTGCGTAATAACCGGCTGCAATACCGCATGCCTGAAGCAACCTCAAACTTGTCCGCAGCCATCAACACATCCAGCAAAGCAGGAGCAGTAGTTGTAGATAAGGTACCGCTATACATAAAATTCAGGAGCTCCATGAGGGCAGCTTCCTCTGTTCCATGAGAGTTAAAAAAAGGATGGTTATTTAAGGAAACATAACTGTAATTTACCAGTGTCTATTCCTTTCTCACAAATCACTTAAACAAGTCCAACTGTTCCAATGAAACTAAAAATATTATGGTACAACAACAACGTAGGTAATTTTTTTTATAAAAATTTTTTGGGAAAGGCCTCCTTTCAATCATCTTAAAGCTGGTTTGTGTCTTTTCAAAACATTAGTTATTAAACATTCTATAGGAAAATGCAACTTGAAGATATTAGTCATGCAAAAAGTAAAATTTCATGTTTGATACTGAGCAAGAGTCGGACAAACCAAAACACAGTCCAAAAAGAAGAATGCTAGAAATTTAATCCATACCAGAGGCATTGATTCGTAAAGTGACATGCCGCTGTTCTGACTCTCTCATCCCATTTGAGAAGAGCTACATAAATGATAAAACAGAATGGAGTGGAACATCATCCAGAACTGTTATAAAGCAAAGAAAGAAAACCAACTTGAAGAAACATAATGATCCTTACCTTATAGAAAAATGGACTTTTTGCTGCTAAAATGGGAGAGCTGATGTGTAAGGTCTTAACTCTCAGAACTGTAGAACAATCCATGCTCCAGTCTGAATCATTACTATTTGCAGCTTCATCTCCTGCAAAATAATACGCATTAAAATAACAAGAGCTGACCATAGCAGCATGTAGAAGGCTGTTGACTTCTCAGTGGCATAAAAAAGGTAATAATCAAAGTTTTAAATATTGGTCGTAACGTTTTAAATATCGGCTGGTGGCTTCTCTGAAACACCACTTCTTTCAGGGAAACAATACGACAATATAGAGCATAAAACAACACTTGTTCCGGTTTAATTGTCATATTTGAGATTCATAGTGATCACTTCCACGAATATTTTTAAAGACAAGACTACCAACAATTCAAAGGAAATTTTTTGACAGCAGACAGAGTTACATGGCAGAACAAAATTTTGCATAGCTGAACCCAAAAAAGTTGGGAATTTTGGGAATTGTGCAGCTTAATAGCTAACTTTCTATTAGTCTTTTTCTTTTTCCAAATTTTCAAAACTAAAATGATAGTTGCAATTAAAGATGGTTGGTTGTGGGAGAAATTATGAATAGACTGAAATCCTGTTGATTTGGAATGACTTTTGGAGCCAAGAAAAATCAAAACACAAGAAAAATTGTAACTGGACTTGAAATCGAACTATCACCTGAATGTGATTCTTCAATCATTGCAGCTGCTTCCTCATCTTCGTCTTCACAGCCCACGCCATCATCAGTATCAATCTGGTTACAATTCAAAATCTCCTCCTCAGGGCATCCAGCAGTATCCACAGCTGTAAGCATAGAGTCAATGTCAATCAACATCAGTACGATTATCCAAAAGGTGCAGAAGTATGATAACTCTACACAATATGCATCACATACTAGAAAGGGAAATAATCTATTTCAAAGAGAACCCTCCCAATTAATGAATCAATCAAATATCTGATCTACAATAAGAGCATCTATACTAATATATAATGTGAGCACCCAAGTTGGTGTGAACTCTGTCACGCTATTTTGTTTACCAATTATGCTCTACAAATAACATATTCGGTTTCACAAACGGGGTGTAAACATGGAAACTAAAATTTTGCCCCATGTTCAACCCAACCCAAAAAACTGTTAAAATTTTAAGATTTTGAACTCAATTGGACTTTCACAACCTTATTCACTGGAAGGAAACGATACTAAGCACACGCATCACATGTGCCACCACTTCTAGTAAAGTAAATAAGACAACCCATCAGGGTCCAACATGTAAAAAATGACAATTAAACAATAGTAATGTGTTTTCCTATCTGTAATCTCTATCAATTTAACTGCAGCATTAAAACATGTAAAACTCTGACCATTTTCACAATTGCTCACATAACAGACCATCTGTTACGAAATTAAAAACTACTTTTTCCAATACCTTTGAAATAGCTGCATTTAAATCTTACCCTTCAAAATACATCAACGAACCAATTTGAATGCTAAAATTTAAACAATAGAGGTAAATTGAAATCAAATTAAAGAGATAATCCCAACATTAATCAAATTTTAAAAAATTACCATCAGCCATGGCAATAAAGCTGTTTACATCACATGCCTCACCCTTGAAAATTAAATTAGGTTCAGAGGTAAATCAAATTAATGAGATAGTCCCAACATTAATCAATTTCCAAAAGTTTTACAATCAACCATGGCAATAAAGCTGTTTACATCACAGGTCTCACCCTAAAAATTAAATCAGGTTCAAGCTTATTACTATACAAAGTCTTGGTTTGAAAAGTGATGAACTTAACCTCAATCAAACAAAATGGTTGAATAATGCTAAGTTTCTTATTTCTCAAGTCTAGCATTATATCCCATCTCAAAATTTCAGTTTCTTTTCTCTCCCATATTTTCTCAGCAACCAAACAAAATTATATACACATTTTTAACAACAATAGGAACATCAACCACAACCAACCCAAATCTCCACAAATAACCTTAAATCAAAACATGAATCAAAGCCTGCACATTCAATAAAAGAATCAAAATAAGAAATGATTATTTCACAAGGGTCCGTTTAATTAGCGAGATATTAATGGATTATGCAAGAAAGAGAACCAAAAGAAAATCAAACTTTTTTGGTGTTTGTTTGAAATTTCGCATACAATCTCTTAAACAATAAAATTAGATTTTGAGTTCCCACAAAATATGCAAAAATTATTACTTTACAGAACAGTCATCAAACTTCCTAGATTTTTCCATGGTTCCATCCCCTTGTTTAAAATGGACAAACACAATTAGGTAAAATATTTTTTCTTGCAGCTTTCGTGCTTCCCAAACTGAAAACTTAAATTTTTCAATCATTTTCTCGCAAAATTTTCATCATAATCAGATGCATGAAACAAATTATCAAACTTCCCAGAACAATTGTATCAAACTTTGCCGATTTTCCCCATGGTTCCATCCCCGGTTTGAAACGGACAATTAGGTAAAATATACAAATTTTTCTCGCGACTTTCGTGCTTCCCAAACAAAAAAGCTAAAAATTTTCAATAATTGAAGTACTGACCGTTATCTTTCTTGATATCTTCTCTCCTGCGCTTCCGATGCCTGGCCCAATCGGCGAGACTATGACATCCCTCGCCGTCCCATCTCGTCTCCGGCGAATCGGCCATGATTTCGATTCGGAGAACTCGATCGGAGAAGTTGCTATCATTGAATGCAAAGCCAAAATCACCGTCGCGACCGCCGTTGGGCGAGAATTCCGAGTCCATCACCGTCCTCGGATCGAAAAGATCCAAACTTGTGTCCTTCATCTCCTCGCTCTCTCTCTCTATAAATAAATTTCTCTCTCTAGAAGAAGGAGAGAGACGAAGAAGAAGAAGAAGAAATGTTGAAGATTGAAAACCCTAACTGGCCTCACCTGGCGTTATCCAAACGAACAGAGAGAGAGAGAGTTTCTGACAACTGTTCCCAATACTAAAATAAGGTTAGAGAGAGGTAAGAAATAGGTGGCTCATGTGCTTTACATTTTATAATGGAAAATGCTAAAGATCCTAAATTTTTTACTAAATAAATGATCAAATGTCTCATATGGGTGTGGGGCTTACAAAATTGCGGACCCCACACTCATGTAAAACATTTGGTCGTTTATTTGGTAGAAAATTTGGTATCCCTAACATTACTCTTTTATAAATACATTTAGCTGTCGTTGGGAAGGTGGGTTAGTTTTTTAATTTTTTAACTTTTTTAATTACTTTATTTTGAGTTAAAAAGTTTAGTTTAGAAAGAATTTTTTGAGTTTTTGATTTTTTTTGAATTTTTTTTTTTAGAAAAAAATATAATAATTATGGGTTGGATGTGATATTTTGTTTGTTGTGGTTAAAATAATCTATTTTGTCTTTTGTGACTAAAATAGCTAAAAAAAATTTTTGCCAAACGGAACCTTAGTTTTTTTTAAAAAAAAATTTAAACATTAAATAATATGCCAATTTAGACCTGAAATGGAAACAAAAATATGCCATTATTTGGTGTAATTTTGCTTTTAGTGTTTTTTAACTTATGTTGTAGCTAATTCAAGGCTAGTTATTCGAAAATGTAATGGTAAACTGCTAAAATTGTTGTATATGTTTTCCATTTTTTAAGAATTATTTTGATTTTATAGAAATTATGGTGTTTAATAAGCAGTTTAAATAGTTTGTTAAAAAGTAAATAAGGAGAAATTAAAAGAATAATTTTTTACCTTATAGTTCTGTTTGTTTATTTTTTGACGTTTGATGTAATAAAAAATAAAATTAACAAAAAATAAATATATTTAGAAGAAAAATATTTCTTACGTTTCAAATTTAAAAAATAAAGCTACCTATATTTGTCTTCATGTAGTGATGAAGTTGGCTACTAAAGGGAGTCCCCAACAATGGTGCAGTCAATGCCAAATAAAAGGTCATGTACATGCTACTTTGCTTTTCCTCCCTACCTCTTGGAAAATGCAAATGGAAAGTTAAGCGAACCAAAAAATTAATCTAAAAAAAAAAAAAAAAATTGGAATTTATGGTGTATATTTAGAGGTTGTTTGGAATGTTCTAAACAAATGTATTTTTTGACTTTTTATGAAATATAAATTGTGTTTGAAATGATGTGGTAGAGATGTGATGTGACTTAAATAAGATGATGTGACTTAAATAGGATAGTAATTTTTTAACTTTTTAACTTTTTAATTTTTTTTTGAAGATGCCAATCTCAACCTTAAAGTTTTTGTTGTGGTTTCGGCTATTGATGTTGAAATCTAGGTTTTTTTTTTTTTTTTTTTTTTGTCCTAAGACTAGTATTGCTGAAATAAAAAGTAGTGGCTTTTCTAATTAGTTTTTTTGTGTTGGAATTTTTTTAATCTCGTTTGGTTTGATTTTTTTAACTTTTATGAAAAAAAAAATATAATGATTATGATTTGAATGTGATATTTTATCTTATTAGTTTATATAGGGTATGTTTGGTTTGTGTTTGAGAGATGTGTTTTAGAGATAAAAAGTACGAAAAGTTGTTTGGTTTGGTTTTTTTCAAAAGATGTTTTGGAAAATTATTTTGAGAGAGAGTTTTGAAAAAAGTGATTGATTTGATGTGTGTGAGAGAGAGATTTGTTTGAAAAACTTGTTTGGTTTACAAGTTTTGAGAAATTTTTTTGAGAAAATTTGTTTGGTTTGATTACTTTTAAAAACTTATTTGTAAAAAAAATTTCTCAAAATTTTTCCACAAATACAAACCAAACGAACCCATAATAAATTTTGTTCTTTTTTTACTTTTTCTTTGACTAAAAATCTAAAATCAAACCAAGCTTTACTATGAAAATGTGTCAAGGAGATTGCTATGAAAGGAGATGTGTAGTTAAAATTTAGAGGGTGTTTCACATGTATTAAATATATTTTTTAATTTTTTATAAAAAATCGTAAAATATAAATTGAATTTGAAGTAATGTGATAAAGAGGTGATTTGATTTAAATGAAATGATTGTCATCTAAATAAAATAATGTGTTAAAATAGCATGTGTTATTTTAGCACATGCCAAACAGTGCCTTAATTTATGTAGTATATTGGCTTGTTTTGAGAAGTAAGTTAAAGCTGACTTTTTGATTTTTTTTTTTTTTAAAATGCGTAAAAAAAATAGAGAGATGATATGATCCAAAAGAAGTTAAAAGCCAAAATGTGTCTTTTAGCCATGTTCCTAAACTAAGCCATTATAAGATTTATGAGATAGTGAAACGTAATCAAATGAATTAATACTCACATCTTAAGGTATGGTAAGTACGTGATCAAGAGTTCAAGTTGATTGTAATCTAACTATATGGAGCATCGACGAACTCTTAAATTGTAATTTAACTTTTATATATCTTATTATAAGATTTATATATAAAATAAATTTAAATTTGATGTTTTTGAATAAAAGAAATTTCATCCAACGAACTGTTCTATAGTGTTCTTTCTTTATTAATTTAACTTTTCCCTCAAATGTATGCATCTTTTGACTGCATACAATCGGTCTTTATTTTATTAATTATTTTTAAAAATTGTGACTTTTAATAATAAAAGATAAAATAAAATAAAAAATTTAAAATTTTAATGAGAAGCTTAATGGTTGAATCACTTCTACAAAATATTTTACCTAATATTATACAAACAAAATTTTCATATAAAATAATTATTCGCAATGTTATGATTTTATCATTTCACAAAACTCAGAATTTCATTAATCACATTAATATTGGTGCTGTTTGGTGTAGCTGTTAAAACAGATTATAGATTGTAACTTAACAGATTATAGATTATGACTTTAATCAGAAACTGTTAATCTGTTTGGTATAGCTGTTGGATTATAGATTTAAGTTGCTAAGTAGTGTTTGTTAAATAAGCTGTGAAGTAGCTTTTTCAATTAATTTTTATTTTTTATTATTCACTATTTGTCTACATTTTTCATAAAAAATAGTAATAATATTTTATAATCCATTTGGGTCTTTTTCTATTTTAAAAAAAATAAAAAATAAAAAAATCTAAGAGTATAACCGTGAATTAACATGTCCACAGCAGAAGCTGATAATCAGAAGTAAGGGGTGAGCAGCTTCTCGGAATCAGCTTTTTTGACTTAAAATAAGTTATTAGAATCAGAAGCTGTTTGAAATAAGTTTAACCAAACAGTTCAAAATAATTTTTTAAAAGCCAAAAATCATAAGCTGGCTAAAAAAAAGCCCACCAAACACCCCATTATACATCTACTGTTGCATTTTGTCTGACTCACATTTTCAGGAAAGTAAAAATGTGGCACCCTCAGACTTGTTTGTTTGATATTTTGACCATCCAAATTTAACAACAATATTAAGCATCCAAAAAAAATATTTTAATAATAATTTAAAAAATATGTGAATTGAGTTTATTCTAAGTATAATTCATATTATATAATTTAAATTTACATCATATATTTTATTTTTTAAAATAAGTAACTTTTCTTGTAATCCTCATTATCATGGGTTAGGCTACCAAATACCCCCAGTCACAAGTCACAATTGACATTGAAATGGTCTATTCAAATGTGGCACCTAAAACCAAAATATGTGCTGAGAAAAAAGAAGAAAAAGACAAACAAAACAAAAAATTAACAAGCAACAAGAAAGATTAGACTTTCAATAAAGCTTTCGAGTCAGTATTTTATTTATTTATTTATTTATTCCTTCCAAAAAATTACCACTTTTGTTTCAATATGTAGCCACAACCACCAATCTAATGGTGGTTTGGAAATGTTCATATACCTAGCTAAAAGCTTGAATTATTGCCTCACTCAAACTCCAAGATGAAGATTGATGTAAATATAGAGGAGGGTAATAAGAATTGAAGAAGTCGTGTCACGTAACAAATAAAATTCAAACTCAAGTATCAGGCCTTAGTGATTAGAATGATATAATTACAATATTCATATCGTAACTACAGTAGCTCACTTTAGGAGTACACACAATAATTTGTCATTCATAATTTTTATTACAAAGTATAAACACTCATAACTTTCACTACAAAAAATAATAACTTTTTATGATTAGCGATTTTTAAATGTGCACACCATAAATTTTAACTATCATTGTTAATGAACTAATGATAAATTACTGATTAAATTAATGATATTACAGTCGATAATAACAAACTTATAAAGATGATTTTAACATTAACGATCTAACTATCATTATTAATGAATTAACAATAAATCACTCTAGCCGTAGCATATCTTGAAAAATATATCAAAATATATCGTAAGTTTGAAATAACAAAAATATAGTTTTAATCATTATCAATGGCATAACATCAAATACAAGGAATTGTTCTATTATGTAACATTGGATTGTGTTACTGTTGGCTTATTTTTCCTACGAAAGAAAATATCATAAATGCGAGCGTGCCAGTAAGGATTGAAAAATCCTTACAGATTAATTCAAGCCAATTATCAAGCGATTGTGTTGACGGTTCTTTTGTCTCAACGAAGAGGACTTCAAAATTATCAAGTGTAGAGAAAAGAAAAAGTAAAAGAAGAAAAAGATACGGAGAAAGATGATTGAGTGAACAATCGAAGTAATAATTACTTACCTCTACTCCTATGCTTCGAAAAGAAAGTGCATAAAATGCTTCGAAATGGAAATGCTGAAAATAAATGCTTCGAAATATAAATCTATGTTAAACTACTCCTAAGATAAGGAAAATGACAAGAAATATTTCTTTTGCCTCAACGAAGAGGACTTCAAAATTATCAAGTGTAGAGAAAAGAAAAAGTAAAAGAAGAAAAAGAGACAGAGAAAGATGATTGAGTGAACAATCGAAGTAATAATTACTTACCTCTACTCCTATGCTTCGAAAAGAAAGTGCATAAAATGCTTCGAAATGGAAATGCTGAAAATAAATGCTTCGAAATATCAATCTATGTTAAACTACTCCTAAGATAAGGAAAATGACAAGAAATATTGA